GACAGACAGAGAGCCTGCGAGAGACAGAACCCCAGAATAACAGAGACAGACAGAGAGCCCGCGAGAGACAGAACCCCAGAATAACAGAGACAGACAGAGCTCCGCGCAGAGATAGAACCCCAGAATAACAGAGACAGATGAGAGCCTACAGAGAGAGAACCTAGAATAACAGAGACAGACAGAGAGCCTTAGAGAGAACCCCAGAATAACAGAGACAGACAGAGAGCCCATGAAAGAGATAGAACCCAGAATACAGAGACAGACAGAGAGCCTGCGAGAGATAGAACCCCAGAATAACAGAGACAGACAGAGAGCCTGCGAGAGACAGAACCCCAGAATAACAGAGACAGACAGAGAGCCTGCGAGAGACAGAACCCCAGAATAACAGAGACAGACAGAGAGCCTGCGAGAGACAGAACCCCAGAATAACAGAGACAGACAGAGAGCCTGCGAGAGACAGAACCCCAGAATAACAGAGACAGACAGAGAGCCTGCGAGAGACAGAACCCCAGAATAACAGAGACAGACAGAGAGCCTGCGAGAGACAGAACCCCAGAATAACAGAGACAGACAGAGAGCCTGCGAGAGACAGAACCCCAGAATAACAGAGACAGACAGAGAGCCTGCGAGAGACAGAACCCCAGAATAACAGAGACAGACAGAGAGCCTGCGAGAGACAGAACCCCAGAATAACAGAGACAGACAGAGAGCCTGCGAGAGACAGAACCCCAGAATAACAGAGACAGACAGAGAGCCTGCGAGAGACAGAACCCCAGAATAACAGAGACAGACAGAGAGCCTGCGAGAGACAGAACCCCAGAATAACAGAGACAGACAGAGAGCCTGCGAGAGACAGAACCCCAGAATAACAGAGACAGACAGAGAGCCTGCGAGAGACAGAACCCCAGAATAACAGAGACAGACAGAGAGCCTGCGAGAGACAGAACCCCAGAATAACAGAGACAGACAGAGAGCCTGCGAGAGACAGAACCCCAGAATAACAGAGACAGACAGAGAGCCTGCGAGAGACAGAACCCCAGAGACAGAACCCCAGAATAACAGAGACAGACAGAGAGCCTGCGAGAGACAGAACCCCAGAATAACAGAGACAGACAGAGAGCCTGCGAGAGATAGAACCCCAGAATAACAGAGACAGACAGAGAGCCTGCGAGAGACAGAACCCCAGAATAACAGAGACAGACAGAGAGCCTGCGAGAGACAGAACCCCAGAATAACAGAGACAGACAGAGAGCCTTAGAACCCCAGAATAACAGAGACAGACAGAGAGGCTGCGAGAGAGAGAACCCCAGAATAACAGAGACAGACAGAGAGCCTGCGAGAGATAGAACCCCAGAATAACAGAGACAGACAGAGAGCCTGCGAGAGATAGAACCCCAGAATAACAGAGACAGACAGAGAGCCTGCGAGAGATAGAACCCCAGAATAACAGAGACAGACAGAGAGCCTGCGAGAGAGAGAACCCCAGAATAACAGAGACAGACAGAGAGCCTGCGAGAGATAGAACCCCAGAATAACAGAGACAGACAGAGAGCCTGCGAGAGATAGAAGCCCAGAATAACAGAGACAGACAGAGAGGCTGCGAGAGAGAGAACCCCAGAATAACAGAGACAGACAGACAGAGCCTGCGAGAGACAGAACCCCAGAATAACAGAGACAGACAGAGAGGCTGCGAGAGATAGAACCCCAGAATAACAGAGACAGACAGAGAGGCTGCGAGAGAGAGAACCCCAGAATAACAGAGACAGAAAGAGCTGCGAGAGAGAGAACCCCAGAATAACAGAGACAGAAAGAGCTGCGAGAGACAGAACCCCAGAATAACAGAGACAGAAAGAGCTGCGAGAGATAGAACCCCAGAATAACAGAGACAGACAGAGAGCCTGCGAGAGACAGAACCCCAGAATAACAGAGCACCTGCCTTGCATTGAACTTCATTGTAAAGTCTGTGATTGGACAGACACAGAAAGTCTGGGCGGGGTTAGAAAGGGCAGGCTTGTAAAGGCTACAGACAAGAGATCTTCAGCTTTTTGAAGCTGTTTTTAGATATATCCCCAATGGAAAAATGAATAACTAAATGTACTACTGTATACATATGTAAACAGTGATTTGATTTTTTATTTGTGCTGTAGAGTGCCACTTTGAAGCGAAAGGGTTTGCTTTAAAGGGAAAGAGCAGTTTAAGAAACGTGTGGGAATAAGCCTATTAATATAGATAAATTGTCTCTTAAGCTTTAATAAAGTTACACAGCAAGCAGGGTATTAGGGTGGTCTACAAAGATTAGACGGGCAGGAAAGTTCCCGCATCCCATCGTTCCACAAACCACCAGCCACTTTTTAACACGTATCTACGTATTTCTAATGAATGGTTTGTTTCATTATTTATTAGAAGAATCGGTAATGGAGCCGTTCTGATATTTACGTAGTAAGGGGTATAATCAGGAACATATTAGGGGAGCTCCAGCCTTCTTTGAGACGATTTAAAGATGTTGATACATTTGTTACTTTGTAACCCAGCGAGAGAGGGAGAGAGAGATGGGTCAGACAGACAGGGCTATTTAATAAAGTGAGAATATCACAAGGTCTGGGTGCCACGTGCCCTCTGTTTAAACCTTGTAATGTAAAACATTCTGCAGGACCCCAACTGTCTGCAGGGTTAACGCTGTCACACTGTCAGCCACTAGAGGCGTTTCTGCAAAGTAGTAAAATAGAAAATAAAGGCCCAGAGGAGGCGGGCTGAAAGCTAGCCGGATAGGAGGCATGTGTGGGTGTGGTGGGGATATGGGGGTGTGATTTAGCTTAGGAGTAGGGTGGGGTCAAATAAATAGGTGACATTTTGGCTGTTACCTCAGCCATCTTAAATCTAACGGCGAGGTAACTAGTCCCCTGTGCTACTTGAGTTACTCTTTGCTTACCCTACGGCCAGGAGCATGGACATAGATGGGATCCTTGCTGCCCTTAGGGCTGAGGCCCTCCAAGACGGTGGCAGGCACCTGCAGGCCCAGCTGGCAAGGCTGCAGGGTGCCTCCATGGTAGCTGCTCCCCCTCCCGGCAGCCATGGAATTTCGCGCCGCTGGGCGCGTCCCCCTACCCGTTATAGCCCCTCGCGGGAAGGCAGGGTGGGGGCTGGAGGCATGAGCACAGCTGCCGGTCCGCGGGCCGGTTCCCACGCGGCCGCGGCTGGCGCTGCCACCATTCATCCAGAAATTTTTTCCCTCCTCCCTTTGGAAGATCTTCCTCGGGTGGATGCGGATGCTAAGGAGTCTGAAAAAGACAAAGAGAAGTTTCGGTATTGGAAGATTCCGAAAACTTTTGGTAACTGGATTAGGGCCTTTTCTATCCTGGCTAGCGTGATAGGTGAAAAAAGACTCCCAGCAAATGCTCTTCCCTGTTTTGCTACCAGGACATGATATGGAACGCTTGTCGGGTTTATGGCGGGTTAGGGTGGTGGCGGTATGATGAACAGTTCCGCCAACGGTTTGAGGGTTTCACCACTAGGCGTGGTGCCTAAAAGGGAACCAGGCAAGTTTAGGCTGATTCACCATTTATCGCACCCACAGGGGGGCTCGGTGAATGATGACATTGCCGCTGAATTGTGCCGCGTTTCCTACGCGTCCTTTGACGCGGCGGTGGATATGGTCAGGGCTGCTGGCTCCGGGGCACTTATGGCAAAAACTGACATTGAGTCGGCTTTTCGCCTCCTACCGGTTCACCCGGAGTGTCACCACCTCCTGGGTTGTATATTCGAAGGTCATTATTATGTGGATATGTGCCTCCCGATGGGTTGTGCGATATCCTGTTTTTATTTCGAATGTTTCAGTTCCTTCATGGAATGGGTAGTTAGAGCGGAATCCGGTTACGATTCCTTGCTTCACTACCTAGACGATTTTTTATGCGTTGGCCCTGCGCGCTCCCCAACATGCGCGCAACTTCTGCAAGCAGTGGCGGATGTTGCTTGCGAGTTCGGAGTGCCGCTGGCGCCAGACAAAACAATTGGCCCTTCCACGTGCCTGTGCTTTTTCGGGATCGAGATTGATTCCGTTGTTGGGGAATGTCGGCTTCCATTGGATAAATTGTCTGATCTTCGGGAGGTGGTGCGAGTGGCGAGCGCTTTGCGAAAGATTACGTTGCAACGACTTCAATCCCTATTGGGCAAATTTAACTTTGCCTGTCGGATTATGCCAATGGGCAGAGTGTTCAACCCACTGGCGGATCCAGGGGGGGGCAACGGGGCAATTGCCCCCCCCCGAGAAATCCGCCGGTCTCCCTCTCCCTCCCCTGCCAGGACATGCAGGTGCCAGCCCTGCAATGTGCCTGCGGACCGGAGGGAGATCAGAGCTCTCCCTCCCCGGTCCGCAGACACTGTGCTGACAGCCGGCATGGGAGTGAGAGGGAGGACCCGGGAGCTCAGTCTGCAGCTCCTCCGGGTCCTCCTCTCGTCAGATTTGAAGCATGGCCGCGGTTACCGGTTGTTTCACTGTAACCACTGGGACCACCAGGGAATCCCCACTGGGACCACCAGGGAACGAAATATGTCCCCCCTCCTCCTCAATAAAGGTAAGAAGGGAGGGGGGACATAGAATATTTGTTTTTTTTAAATTAAATAAAGATATATATTATTTAAAAAAGCCCCCCCTACCCTTAACACACACACACACATAGCCCCCATACTGCCCCCCCATGCCGCCCCCCCATACACACATACTGCCCCC